TCAGTGAATCAGCTTTTGCCTTCTTTGGGAATACACGGTGGTTAAAAAATACAAACGATAATTCAGAATCTGGTTTGGTTGGGTTTCCCCCCCACACACACTTTTTTTCATTACCAGCTATATTTTTTTTTAGTAAGAAGTTTTTTATGCAGAAATGTCATAACACTCTTAGTTTGGCTTTCTGCTCTGGAGATGTGATTATAGAAACTGTTTTTATGTTTTAAAAGGAGCATTTTTTTTAAAAAATAAGTACTGGTTATATATAAAACTTGATTTAGTTAAATAACCTAAAGGAACTTAAAGGGTCTTGCTATTTCCCAGTAAGAACCCTCCACAAGTATTGAGACTTTTTAATACTGTCAATATGTATCACAATCTGACGGAATTATTTTAACATGGAGCATGGAGTGCAGCTGCACAGATGAAAATTGTACAAGATTATATCAATTAGGATGCTAGACCACTGTTTTTTAAAATTTTTTAAAAATTTTACTGATCTTCATTAAAGTACCTGGTCACTTACCTGTGTGTTTATATTTTGGATAGGCTAGAAAATGTTATTTAAAAATTTGAAAGGATAACTCAGGTCTTGACACCAAAGGCCTGATATTTTCTGTGCCACAGAGGGGTCTGGGTGACAGTGTAACAGAGCTGAGGACAGCTGATCAGAGGATGTGGGGTCCCACAAGAGTGCGCTCGGTTCACTTCAGAGCCAGGAACTGAACTAGGGTCAATGAGCTGGTTGCAAGCGCTTGCTTGACCACATGTTGCTTCTGGCAGGTGTGTCCAAGCTGCTGGAATTTCTTCCTCATTGTGTCATCAGGCACCTCCTCCTCTCCCCAACTTCCTCTTAAACCAGTAGTTTTTCTGACTTTGTCATTTTAGATATATGGTCCCTAACTGAACAACTTTTCCATGTGGTTAATTAAAAGACAGCTATTTGTCTGTCTTCTTTTTGGGGGCTTCACAGCTCCACCAGGTACTGGAGAATAAAAACTATGCATGTCATAGAATCATAGAATGCTTTGGGCTGGAAGGGGCCTTTAGAGATCATCTCACCCACCCCCCCTGCAGCGAGCAGGGACATCTTTAACCAGACCAGGGTGCTCAGAGCCCCGTCCAGCCTGACCTGGAATATTTCTAGGGATGGGGCCTCTGCTACCTCTCTGGGCAACCTGTGTCAGTGCTTCACCACCCTCATTGTAAAAAATTTCTTCCTTATGTCTAGTCTAAATCTATTCTTCTTTAGTTTCAAACCATTACTCCTTGTCCTGTCACAACATGTTGTGGAGCAGTTGGTGTTTTTTGATAGTCCAAGAAAATGTCTCCTCTGTGCTGCATCTCCCTATGGCTTTTAGTCCCTCTGTGCTATTTTTCTTGTTCTGTCCTTCAAGATGCCCACATTCAATGTGTTTCAGCTTTCTAAAGAGTGGAAATTATGTGAGGTGTTGCTTCTTGCTTTAGTTCAGTTCTCTCCTGGTGGTTATGGTTTCTACACCCACATTCATATGGAAATCAGAGCCATGGAGATCTCTGTAGGTAGACGACCCTGATACCTAGCCATTTCCTCTTGTGTCTCCAGTTGTACTTTTGTTCCAGTTGCTTAGCTCACTGTCGACCTTTCCTCTTTGTCTTCCCTGATGGAAAATATTTACATACTTTCTGTGCGTGACATGACTTCAGAACAGTCTGCAGCCCACTGTGCCATTCTAATGTTTTTCTGAAGCTGACAAAGCACTTTAAGGTTTTCCTCTTGACCTTTGCGCATTAGTCCAAAATGAGGCTTAGCACAGAGTTCACTACATCATCCAAGTGTCTGTAGAAATTAGTCTATGCCTCTCTGTCCTTTGACTCTCTCAGGAAGAAAAGGATTTGCCCAGACAGGTGGTTGAAGAAATTGCTCTCTGACTTGTGTAGTTCTGCAGGTAACCTTTTTTGGGGTATCATCAAGTCTGATTTCATGAATCTGCCATAAGATAAAGTCTCCAGCTCTGATTGTCTCTGCTGGTATGTCATCTTTCACTAACTGCTGTTCAGCTGCTCTGGCAGCTTCTAGCTAGGTGTCATTCAGCTAAGCATTTGGTTCTGCAAATCATTGATTGTTTTCCTTCAATCCATTATTTGTGCAAATCTCCTGTCAGTACTCAACCCATTTCATCCTACCCATATTCCTTTTAAGGATGCAAAACCATCCTTGCCCAAAATGATGCCAGCTTTAAGCTGGACTTCCAGTTGATAATGCTTCCAGTTCCAAATGCCTTGTTCCACTTGGATTCCTCCATGCCTGAGAGCTGTTCATTGAACCAGCTTTGCCTATTTATGTTCTCCAGTCTCTTGGGTTTCCAGATAGAGGGTGTTCTCCAATATTAAGAACTTCTCTAATGGTCATCCTGTTCTCTTTTACTGAACAGGCTGCAAGTGAGGACGATAGCAATGTGCGGTTGAAAGTTCCACATCCTTAAAGTCCTGGCAGACTTTGTTAGTCCTTATCTGGTCTTTTCAGTGCCTTCAGGTTGTACCTGATTGGCCTTTTCATCTCACCCTTCTCATGGGTTGACTCAAATGTTGCTTGATAGCTGCTGAAGACAAGACAGGACTATGACCTGAAAAGCCACCTCATCTGAGGAACCTCCAACACTAAGAGTCTGCATTCACCCAAGATCTTATTTAGCAAGATAAAGCCTTGTCAACAGCATCTGAAATAAGGTTTTTTTGTGCCCCTACTCCCTTTATTTTTAATTTGGCTTATGTTTAGACCTCTTTACTAACTGAAACCCAGGGCCAGAATTGCATTGCCTGGTTGGAATTTAGACAACTTGTGGTCTATATAATTCTGATGGATATGGATGAAGAAAGGTAGGAATTGCTGAATCCAGTAGCTTGACAGAAGGGAAACTGGCGTATTGCCATGTCCCCAGGTCCAGTAGCAAGTCTGAGCGTGTATTGTTATTAGGCACATACACACACAACACCCGTATCCACAGTCAGCCACACAGATCAGCACAGGCAGAAAATGCAGCACTCATGCCAACACAAGCAGTGGAAGATACATGCATTTATACAACATGGATCATTCCAGTAGCTGGGTTTAGACACTCAGTCTGTCAGATAGTTGGTCTGTGGATCCCTATATCTCCCCATCTGATGGCCTCTGGGTCTGCAGCCTCACCCCAGTTGCTGGTACTCAGGTGTTCTCCCACACAAATGGTCATAGAAATACACGTGCTATGGATCCCTCCAGTAACTGGCTTTAGGAAGTCAATGTTACCCAGTAGTTGGCCCCTGGATCCTCTGTTCTTCCAGACGCCTTGTGCACAAACTCTCCTGTGAATGTGCATGCACACACACACACACACACACACACAAATAGGTCTCTGGCAGGTCGTCCAAACCTATGGCCCTACCGGTAGCTGACACCCAGGTCCTCTGGTCTTTCTAGTAGATGGCTTGGAATGCCTGGTTCCTCCAGGTGAACTGAAAAGCCTTTCCTGTTGACTTATCTGCTGGATGTCATGCCCAGACCACAGGCTGATCATTCTCCTTTGATAGCCCTGAGAGTAGCCTAGTCAGTGCTTGTTGTCACAGATTAGGTTCTTGGGATTCTTCCATCTTCATCGTTCCTTTGCGGCTTTGTCTTCACGCACTTTATGAAGCCTGTAATCACATACCCTAATGAAGAAGAACCAGAGTCTGTGACCAGGGCAAGAATCTTCAGGCAACACACCAAAAAGACTTCATAAATATAGTAATGTCAAGATAATAGCAGTAGTAGAAAGGATGCTTCTGTCAAATTTGTTGTGGGAGTGATACCAAATGAGACAACTTATTATGCCTTAAGACTCCATGGTCTCTATGTATGCAATAATAAATGTTGGCCTGGTATAGATTTATGTTAGCACAGGCATTTTCATATCTATGAAAATTCAACCTTTGAGTATCATATGTCAGCAAAAGTATTGATGACCAGCCCAAAAAATTAACTTCTAAAAGATTTAGAGGACAATTTAGCTATGATATTAGGAATGTTAAGTACTGGAGGATTCTGGTCTAAGGATTTCTTTAGTAACAATATTTTTAAATATCCTGATTTTTAATATGGTACAGTCTTGCACGTTAGTTACTGCCAAGAATTATTTGTAAAGCCGTAAACATAGTCCTTGTTACAGAATATGCTGAAGGGGTGAGGGAAGTAGAAGCCATGGCTGAATGTTCTAGCAAATCCCCATACCGTGTTTTTGGAGATGCTTTTAGACTCTTTCCATGGCAGCTATGCAAGAACAGATAACAGTGGTCCCACCAATAACACTGACAGAGAATCGGAGAATGTCTGTTGTCAGAAGGAACAATAAATTAGTTCCAGGAATTTGAAGGACTGCTCTTTGCAGCAGAAATAGAGTCTGCATGCAGAACTCCGAACAGGGGCCTTGCTCCTTCTAGTTGTAGATATCTGAATTCGCTTTGGGGATGCTCCTGCTGGCTTAATGGGATGTAGGGAGAAAATGGGTTGCACCTCAGTAAGTCCCTAGCTCAACACCCAGCTAGCAGTGAGGCCCAGCTGTGCTTCTGGCTGAGGTATTTACCCTGTATCATGGCCCAGACTTTCAGAAGTCTGTTCTTCCCCCAGTTTACATGTAAAACAGAATTTAAAAACAGGATTTACAAACAGCTATCTTTATTTGCATTTAAAGACCCCATTTATCTCTTTTTGATGTCAATAGGAATTCTCCCATGGACTTTTAAAGTGAGCTAATTAAAGTTCAAAAATAAACATTTTTTTAATGTTGTTTTTTGTTCAGTAGAATAAACAAAAGCCTCAGCTGAAGTCAGTGGAAACAAAGTTGAGTCAATGATGAATGCTCTAGAAATTCTGAAACTTGATGTTCAATAATAGAACATCCAATATTAAAGTTTTTTTTCCCCTTCTCCCCAAACATTTGGATTTACATAATGCAACACTGAGAGAAAAATACTTCAACACAATCATGTGCCTCTCATGTCAGGCTCAAGAAGAGAACGTTGCGGATATCGGATCCTGCGTCGCCATCGTAATTCAGAAGATCAGGTGCATTGCATTGGCAAAGCTAAGAAATACAATGAGACAGCAACCCGTGTAAAAGAGATCCTGCTCAGCACAGTCAGTCCGGAGCAGTTTGTTTTAACCCTACTTGAAGCGGAGCCTCCCAACGTGTTGGTGAGTCGTCCCAGCAAACCATTCACGGAGGCCTCCATGATGATGTCCCTGACAAAACTGGCAGACAAAGAGCTGGTTCACATGATTGGTTGGGCCAAAAAAATTCCTGGTAAGAATTTCAGTCTTGCTTTCAGTTATTTTATTTGATGCTTTTACCATCAATGTATCATTCTCTACCCTGAGAAAATAGCACAGCACAGTCAATGTGCAGCATGAAAATCTTAAGCTTTTTATCCTATAAAGTAATGGACAATTTATTGCTCTCAGTAATTCACCTGGATGTGTTTTGATTTAGACAGTCACCTAGCCCATAATTTACTCTCTGTTGTTAGTCAAATACTTGTTCATTTTGCTAAAAAGCATAGTTGGTGTTGCATGTAATTTCTACCTCATCAACTATAAATACCTGATTGATCTGATTTAGAAGGTTCATTAAAAAGGGGTATTAACTTGATTGCTACAAATAAGAATTTAAGACCAAATCCTTTCCTTGAATCCTGATAGAAGGTTGATGAAAAACACAGCTGATGAAAACTGAACTGTGTCCAAGCACTGAGTGTCTGCAATTGCTTCAGTTGACATAGTTGCTGCACAAGAGCATCAGATTGCAAAGTGGCGCATAGTATCGATCTCGGAATTATCGTGCGCTCTCCTTTAAAGCAAAAATCAATAAGGATGCTTTTGCTTGTTGCCAACACAAAGAACATACACTGAAGTACGACTACATGCGTTATTGCCTTGAACGTCTCAAATGTGGCCACAGTATTGTGGCAACGTATCATTTCACTTCTTACAAACTAGAAGTGGTGAGCATTTGCAATTCCTTCTCCATGAAACACCCATGATTGAAACAGTCAGAACAAAGAATAAAAGCAGCCAGCACACGGAGAAGATAGTTGGTAAAGTTGTGCAGAAAAACTTGCTGGTTGGCGTAGACTAAACCGCAGACTGGAGCCCTTTAGTGAGAGCTAAGGTGACCAAGTAACAATATTGAGCCGAAAGAAGCGTTGAATAATTGATAGACAGCAGCATGGGGCTTAATCCTTAACTTCAGATCCAGTGCTCTGCTGGAAGTGATCCCTACGGCTGTGCTTACCTCGCACGGCTAATGTATTCTGCAGTGTGTCTGGTAGTCCTAACCCCGCGGCCGTCAGGACTGAGGAGCCAGCACACCATGGCTCCTCTCTTGGATTTTATGCTGCAGGCAACCAGAGCATGCTGGTGCTTGGATACACACCTAGGAAGACATGGCGGTAATCCTTACGTCTAGAAATAAACTGAGTGCGTACACAGTACAGGAAACAAGCTTGTTGGAGAATATTTTGAATAATCCTTAAACTAAGAATTTAGGATAAGGGAAGCGTATCCTATTTCAGATCTCCTTGGAGTGGCTGGAGGTGCTACCAGCTCCAGCTGCTGGACCGCATCTCCTAGTTGCATCTCCATCTCCACGGCTCAGCCGCTGTGTTGGAGGGTTCAGGTGTGGTGGGTTTAGGGTGTGCAAATTCCAGATCTGCTCCTGAGCTCCTGGGGAGGAGAAGCTTGCACAGCACAAGCATCTTAAACCACGCTAGCCAGCTGCAAAACGAGAGTGGTTTTGCCGTTAAAGTGCAATGTTTTAAACTGAGAGCCCAAATCCTTAATCCTTATTTTTCCTGATTTAAGAAACTCTGAAAATAACTGTAAAGTAAGTAACTATAAGGGGTTAAGTGGTGTCTACTGCTATAATTTCTTGTCTGATCAGAAAAACTTGATTAAAAGGTACCATTTCAGAGGACTCCATATAATTATGTTAATGTGGTAGGAAGTGAATTGTGAAGGAAAACCAGAGAAATTCTTAGAAAACAACCTCATTTTAAGCAATATTTGAATGGGGAAAAAAACCCAAACAACCTTTTCCATTTTCTGATTGTTCTTAATTTCTATTTTTTTCAACTATGTCACCATTTTTAAAAAAAAAAAAAAACAAACCCCACAATCACAAACCCAAAATCTCAGCCAGCTTAGATTAACTTTTTGAATTTTTTAAAAGATCAGTTTCCAAACCGACCCCAGTTTTGACATTGATCACTTTTAGTTGATTTTCAACGTCTGTCAGCAATAAAAACTTTTTCTTGGCAATAACAGAACTGTATGAAGAAAACCCATTGAAGCAGTCAAACCCCTTCAAAACAGTTCCTGGGAATGTTGACACTTCATCGTGTATGTTTGTTTTTTCTGATGACTCCTGTTACACAGAACAGAAGTAAACACCATTTTAGAACAAAGCCAAAAATAGATGTGATGTTTAACATGTACCTAATTATAAGTAATATTGCCATATTATATCGTAGTTAGAGCATTTACTTGAATTTGGATTTATTTATTTTTTTCCATTAAAACAACTGTGATGATTAAAGCTTAGGACATAGAATTTCAGTTTTCAAAACTTCTTGCCTAAAGTTAATCATCTAGATCCCTGCTTTGCTTCCTGGAGGTAAGGTCTTAGAAAAAAAAATACAGAGTTCTTGATTAATGGCCCAGTGAACAGTAATTTTACTTTCTGTAAAGCTGAATATTTGCTTTTGTGTAGCTGGGTAAGAAGCCCATTTTCACCTCTAAATTATTATTGGATATTATTTTGACAGTCACCGAAAGTGAAAGAAAATCTTTTTATTTTTCCTTATAGATGCTGATGTTAACAGTAACTTTTTGCCTAAACAGGAAAGATAAATGTTTATGTATTTTTTTTAATTTAATATTTAATGACCTTCTTTTGTTATGAGTTTTACTCTGTGTCTGTATTTTTGTCTGTATTTTCAGCTTAATGGATTATATTTTTGTTGTTGCTCGGTAAAATAGAAGCTGCCACCTGGGTGTTTTTCCTTCTGAATTCCAAGTATTTTAATTCCAAGTTGTCAGAGGGCGGAACATAACTTCTAAAATTGCCTTTTGCTTTGTTGACCTAGTCTAAGAGAATTGAACGTGGTTCATAGCTGAACGGGTATTGCTAATCGATAGGATGTTGTCATAATATTGAAATTTAGATTCATTATGCAACCTAGAGTGTTGCTGGCCAGAACAGCGTGTCTTTTGCTAGTTACTACACATCCAGCACAAGTTTTTTCTTGTCTTAGTAATTTATAATTAAATGATTAGGTCTAGAGCACAGGATTTAAAGGGCATGTACGACAGCCGTAGAAAAATAAGTAGTTTAATGTACTCTGCAGCAAATGAAATAGGACTTCTGACACTGCAATGGAAGCCGTGGTGGTTATGTGCTGTCCTCGATCTTCAAAGTGTGGGATTGTTAGGAAAAGGAAAGGTATAGTCCCTCTCATAGCTGTGCTCAGGGGTCATAAATCATACTGCTGGTGCTGATAATGTGAGTTTAGCAGATGACATCCAGGATAAATCCGGACCTTTAAGTATCTGTAGATGGAACTCTGGGACTTGGTTTGACATCTCGCTCAGCTGAGATAATTTTTAAACCCAGTAACTGGTTGTTTATGCTGGGGAAATCAGCACATGCCTGCGTAAATGTTTATTTAAATAAACTTCTGAAACGTCTTTGGGCTGTTGTTTCCCGGGAAACTGGCACTGTCAGTTTATACTATTCACACTTCCATGATTATTTTTCTAAAAGCACTTTTAAAATTGTGAGTGTGTGTCTGGCAGATAATCTGTTGCTGGCTGTGGATTCTGTAGTAAATTCTGTGACAGCGAAATCCAGGAGGGAAGGTACCGCTCATAGGCTCCTGTTTACCCTTCTTATAAAATAAGGAGCAAGGCTCTCGATTTTGAAAGGCAGCACTTCTAGCAGTGGTAAGAGAGAGCGCGCATTATCCAGTTTATGTCAACCCGGGGCTGTCACCGACTGTCTTCCAGCCTAGTAGTTTAATAAGATTAAAATATATGGAGCACTTGTATAAATTACTGACAGCAGACTCTTTGACAGCGCAAATGTACTGTGTGTATTTTAAGACCTCAGACAACTGGCAAGAACTACGGGAAACCTGTCTCCCATGGCCAGGCTGTGCAATAATTTTTCACTATGCAGTCGTAGATACGAGCTCATCTAAAAATGAAGCGCCTTTGCTAAGAGACCGATCTAACGCAGCTCTGTTTTGAAAACCGTGGCCCGATCTTGGTTTTGAACACAGCTGCGCTTTGACCACTGAACTGGTTGTCATCGTATCTGTGTTTTGTTCCTTGACTGAGCAGTCTGCTTTCCCACGTGCATTTTGATAATTCACACTTCTTCTGTTTCTGTGGTTTGGTGGTTTTGTTTGGTTTTTTTTTTTTTTGCATGTGTGTTAATTTTATTTCTCTTCATTTGGCTTCTATGTGTCTTTTTTCCCCCAGTCTTTTTTGCAGGGGAAGGGAAAGGGAGGGCAACGACTGTCTCTCACAGCCTTCTGGCTGTGTTGCTGTGCTCTCTGACGCCTTGCTTTAACTTCTGAAGAAGACTAAATGCTGGAACAGGCTTATGGACAATCACATTAATTCTCTTCTGACTTCTAGGATGCTGTGAATGGAGGCAATGGGGACACTAGTACCTTCACCAGCTACCCTTGTCTTTTATTTTTTTCTGGTTGATCACAATTTTGGGGAAGGGGGTAGCAGGGAAAGGATGGGCTGGGGTGAACACGTGTCACTTACTTACAAAGGGGATGGTAACACAGAGGCACCAATATGTGGATTCTTTCATAGTTACCCAACAAACGCAGAAACGTGCCTGTCTTATGAGATTTTAAAAAAAAGCCCTGCAAGCGACAACCATATGCATGCTGGAGAGAGAACAGACTATTTTCTTAGGAGTCCTCTGCAGTGCAATGCAGTAATCTCCGACAAAAGCGGGTTTCCCGAGTGAACCCCCGGTGCCTCTCGGGAGGCTGTGGGACCATCATCTGGAGAGGTGGCCGAGCATAAGGCAGGTCCTCTGCAGTCACTTGAGTTTCACCAGCTGTATGGGGAGTAAGTGCACTTGAACATCACTGCTTTATTTCAAATGTTGTGTGGAAGATTTGACAATGATGATAACAAATACTTATGTTCCTGTTTGAGATGGCAGCACGCTGCTTCTGCTGTCAGTGCTCCCTTTTTTGGCTTTCTTCACAACCCATAATTCTTTCTTTTTCTCATGTACTCAGTCGTCTTTATCAAAACAGAGAAATAAACAGCTTGATTTATTTTATGCTATTTTCATCATTTTAGGCTTCATTGATCTCAGCCTCTATGACCAAGTAAGACTCTTGGAGAGCTGCTGGATGGAAGTTTTAATGGTTGGTTTGATGTGGAGATCCATCGACCATCCTGGGAAACTGATTTTTGCACCAGACCTTGTATTAGACAGGTAAAGAGAAATAAATTTCTTGAGAGCACTTCATATTAGCATGTTTGGAGGTGAGGTGAATGGTAAGAGGAAGAGGATTAAGTATGGGAGATGCTATTAATAGTTCATCTAACAATATAATTTACTTGTATTTGTAACAATAATGTCTTGAGGTTCCACATCCTATAGGGGCTTAAGGAATGCTAAGCATAAACAGTACTGTTGAACTTGCTACAGGGGTTCAGGAACTTGCACATCGCAGTGTGAAGTTTCTCTGTATTTTTCACATCTTTTGCTGGTTTTGTTCCTTTTGGTCCAGGTCTCTAGATGCTGAAACTGTAGACACATCAACACAATGCACTAAATTACATTGTCAATTTTCCCCCGCATCCCTCAGAAAAAAGTAGACATAGTGTCAGGCATATTTTAATTATTTTAAGTAGCCTTTCTACCTGTTTTTCTTCCTGCCACTACTGCAGACTCCATAGATAGCTATAATAATGTACACTGCAGCACTAGCCAAAAGGGATTTTAAAAAACCTAGCTTGCTGTTTAATACTGAGGATATTTTTTCAATCTAAAGCAGGGTGTTCGCAAGTTTGAAAATGATTTCTTCATAACATCATGTACCAGCAGGGTAGAATATGGATTAGTAAGGATGTTTTTCTACAGGAGCTTAGAAGGATTTGACCTGGGCTTCACATTGGTTAAAAAGTCAGGGAAACACTCTAGTGTCTTGGGTAGGCTTAAAACATCTCTTAGACTTTTCAACCTGGGGAAATTCAGATCTGTACCGGTTCGGTGGCTTGAGCTCAATAATAATCATCCTCTTAGATACAGAAAACAAAATGGGTTAGTAAGAGAAATAAATTTAATTTATAAAAGATATGAAATAAATTATTATTTGCTTATATAAAATTCAATGCAAGGACACACTGTGTTCTTCAATGCAATGATAAGAAATTGCTGAAAATGTATGATACATTTAGCTCCTCGGGAGCTAATATGTGCTGAACAGAGTGAGCTTATTTGATGCATTCCTTCATCTCCAGAAGACACAGCAGAATGGGAGCTAGCAAGCATCTGGGCATGCTGTAATTTTATTTTTTTAAGACATGCATATATGAAACTGGTCTGTAACTTGATTGTTTTTCTCTCATCTGAACTTCAGATACATTTGCTGCATAATCTTTGTAGCCACGTACTTCGCTGATGCCTCTGTCTTTGCTTTGAAACTGGCAGCTGCCTGTCCTTCTGCAAAGCTTAAAATTCTCCTTTGCCATGAGGAACATGGGAAACCGGGCAATGCTCCGGCAGCTGCCTTTCTGCAGGCAGCACTTGCTGCACCTCGTTAGTGTTACCTGTCCCTGCCTGCCTCGCAGCCTGAAGGCTCAGCACCTTCCTCTTGGGATGCAGTACAGGAGTAAAGTGCTTTCATTCTCCTGCACTGCTGTGCTTAACTCTGTCTCATCTTAAAAACACTACAGAGAAAAAGAATCTCACATTCCAGGTAGTATAAGAAGCAACCCTTTGAATACTGTGTTGGAGAGCTTAATTGCTTTTTTAGTCCAGTACATGTAAAAGAAAAACTAACCAAAAAACCTGGAACAGTAACTTCAGTTACTTCAAATTTGCTGCTGCTTAATTTTAAACCCATTGGAATGGGTTAAGGTCATTTGGGGTTTTTTTCAGATCAGAAAATGGGACCGTTTCTAATATCCAAAATGCAGAAAGTTGCATTCAGTAAACACTTGCAAACATAAAAATAACCAAGCCACAAAACCCCCCAAATCTATTTACATTTAAGCACCTTCAAAGAAAAAAGAGCTGGGGAATGGGGGTAGAGTTTATTTTTATTCTTTAAAAATGTCTTATTTTTCCAAGAAACTTATTTTAGGGGGTCTTTCTTATTCACCAAGTCCTGAGGCCTCTGTCAGGTACAAATAGTGATGTCACCAGCTGTGGTATTAACTCCTTGTGAAACAAATCTGGAAGATGATTGACGGTGGTACTGTGCCCTGCACTCCAGAGTTTCAAACTGATTGGCCGGAATCACACTGGCCGTGAGGATAAAGCCTCTCACAGAAATATGGTCATACTTACCTGCAGTCAATCCTGCATGCGCTTTAAAGAGAAAAATCAGTTTCTTAGAGGTGCTGACCTTCTATACCAGTGTAATTTTCAATTTAGATTTCATGATAGAACCTTTTGAATTCTCCCAAAGATGAGACGGAGAGGCCTTTTGCAGCCTCCTTTGTGCTTTGACTTTTATCTGGCTGAGTCAGAGTTCCTTAATTCTACTTTTTCGGTAACATTTTAAATGTGTTTCCATAGGGATGAGGGGAAATGCGTAGAGGGAATTTTGGAGATCTTTGATATGCTCCTGGCCATGACCTCGAGGTTCCGAGAGCTGAAACTGCAGCACAAGGAGTATCTGTGTGTCAAGGCAATGATCCTCCTCAATTCCAGTGAGTACACCGTTGACTCTGACGCTCACCAAATTGTACTTTTTATTTTGAGGGTTGCTGGGAAATCAGCTTCTAAAGATGGCAGAAATATCAAATGAGATAAAGCCATTGAAATAGAACATTAAGAAAGGACATCTAACCATCAGTTTGTAAGGATTTTTGCTCAAGAAACTTCTAAACTGTATAATTTGCTGGATTTGGGGTCTATGTCCTGTTGTAAGAACTGCATGGAAGACCCAAAATCGGAAAGCTTCTCACAAGGTGGGGCTCATGGCCCAGGCTGTGGGTATGTCCTTTCCAAGGAGAACTGTTGCTCGTATCTCTGTGGATCCTGGTCATGTATAACGTTGCTGTACATCTCTACAAACCTGTCCTTACTTCTTAATTCTAGTAAAACTAGTTACTCAACTGAGTGATGATTAATTGGGCTTCAATGTTCCTATTTAATCATAATTAATTAGTAGAAATGATTGAAAGTACTCAACGGTTCTGCAAGATGAATTTCAGGTTAGGAGCTTTGCTTTGCAGCCTTTTACAGAAGGCAAATAGGAGCATGTTTGCTAGTTTAGGGTAGTCTGCAGTAAAATGATTTTATTCCCCAAAACATGTTGTAATTAATGTTGTCAAAAAAAACCCCAACAACAAAATAGCATCTAACTATTTATATCTACTGTTTTCAGCAAGGGGCTGCTGTGTAATTCTCAGCCCAGTTCCGAAGGGGAATAGGCCAGCTGTTAGCCTGCTTGCTTATTTCAACAGACAAGAAAAGCTGTTCTTTTTTTCTTAAAACCCCCACAACAGCAACAACCAACCAACCAAAAAAACCCAACAAAAAAAATGTTAATCAGCCATATTTTCTTCAAAGCCTCACCTCTCAAAGAAATTCTCTCCTTTCACCTCCCCCTGCTCTCCTTTCTTGTCAAAGTTAATCTTTTACTCCTAATTTTCAAGGTGTTCTGCAGCTCTGTCCTGCCATAAGTATCTTTGGGAGGATTTTTTTTTTTCCCCGAGGTCTCTTCTGCTCTATCAATAATGTTATTGTGTGCTTCCAGACCTCCCTAGTGGTGATTTCTTCTCTTCCTTCTCCATACCCCCAATCCCCTTTTTTTTGCTTTTGCTGACTTTTAAGGTTTCTCACTGTAGGCAAGTGCTATATTCATGGCACCCTTAGTGAGCTGTGGGGAGACCATGGCAGGCTGGATCTATGAGCAGTGTCTCTCACCATGTTTGCCTCCCTCCCTCAGATATACTCAGAGAAAAAAGGGGTTTTTTTCAGCAAGAAGGTATTACAGCAAGCATAATGCTATAATTCATAATAGTTACTAAACTACAAGGTATAGACTGATTCAAAGGAAAAACCCCTGGAGAATGGAGAGCATGTCCATTCTCTGGACTGAAGGGTCTACGTTCCACGTGTTGTCTTGGGAGGATGTGGGAGAGTTACTCAGTTTGCAAATGATGTGGCCGTCAAATTTTGGCAAAGGAATGTAGGTCGGAGCATGGTGTGGCACGTGGAGCATCATTCGCGCAGTCTTGAAGAGGGGTGTCAGGAAATGTATCTTCTCTAATCCTGTTGAAATGTTACATCAGAAAAAAAGCCACAGTCGTAGCTTTTTCCCCTTCCTCATGAGCAGGGAGTATTTCTTTTCTCTGGTTAGGCATGTTTCCCTTGTCAGCAGAAGAACCTGAAAGCAACAGGAAACTGCATCACCTGCTTAATGTAGTCACAGATGCTTTGGTGTGGGTTATTGCAAAGAGCGGAATCCCCTCGCAGCAGCAGACAACTCGTCTGGCCAACTTGTTGATGCTCCTCTCTCACGTCAGACACGCAAGGTAAATTTTTGCACAATGCGTAACGCGTAAGGTGTTAGTGTTTGTGTATTACAGCAACAAAGCACGGCTTGACCTCCAGAGCACTCCTGAGGGAATCCTGGTTCTGCTCTCCATCTCTGTTCATTGTAAGGCTTTCCTTCCTAGCACAACTAAACAGGCAATATACTCAAGTGCTTGTTGGCACTTAAAAACGTTGTGTTGAGATTAAAATGGTGTCTTAATGGTATTACATTAAATTGTCCATTATGTATCTGCCTGAAATATTTAACAATAATAACACAAATTCAGCCTTTCAAAAAAAAACCCCCACCCAGCCGTCAAAACTCTTCCGTCCAAAATAAAAGTCTCTTTCAAAACTGAACTGCAGTGTGGGCTTTGGTGGAGCAACGTGTACTTTTGGTGCCATGTTTGTTCCAGGCCAAATTTATCATCTTTTATTCAGAACCACAGCATTTTTGCCAAGTGACTCATGCTACAACGATGCTACGCTCCTGCTTTCCCCATGGGAAGCAGCTCCTCTGCTCCCTGCCAGCTCCTGGACCTCCTTGAGCTGCTCCTCATTGCTTGCAGTACAGCAGACTCCAATGCAGGGCCCTACAAACAGATACTTTAATTTTCAGGCTGTTTGTCATTTTAAAGTATTACCCAGAGACCAGCTATTCACAAAGCTGTCTTATATCTTGGCTCTGGACAGCGAGTCCAGGGAAGAGGGTCCTGGGTCCAGGCTGGAGGATGCAAAGGAGAGATGGGCACATCTGACTTTGTGTAGGGACACTGGAAAAGGGACAGCCACCTTTGCAACAGGCTTCCTGGGGGAGCGGGTGGCGGCAGCAGGGACCTGACCGTGCCCAAAGGCAGCTTTTAACAGCCAGTTTGTGAACTGGGGGTGATTTTGAGAGCTGGCGCTACAGAAGCTACAGCACCAGCCCGAGCTGAACCTGACTCGTGGCTCTGAGGCGCTGCCATCACCTGGGTTGCCCGCTGTCGTGTGACACCGCGTCACAGCATTGCAGGAGCTCTTGTTCTGGCGCGGCATGAATAAACATTGTGAATCTTTGCAAAATTTTTCTATTTTCTCATTAAAACAAGAGTTTTTATGCTGTGCTGAAGTCTGGAGGCTACTTGTTGTGACCTGTCTCCTTTACGTTGCTTAGCACTGGTCAGTCAATTATACTCGTTCTGGAAATAGTTGATGCTCTCAGCGTTGATTACCAAACGATGCAGGACTCTCAAGAGCTGGGTGTGGGAGGGAGGCTGCAATTTCTTCTTTGCCATTAACATATTTATAACTCCTTGAATTGTAGCAGAACCTCATTTTTCTGGAAGCATTGCCCCCCTCCCAATCCAGTCCACCAGGTCAGCTGTGCTGGCTCTGCTGCTGTTTCCACTGTGATAAATTTGGTGTTGAGCAAGTGCACTTAGATTTCAACCGCAAAGCCTTGAGTGCATCTGAAGTGTATGTGTGTGCAACTGCAACGGCTGTAGCCATCTTCTGTTAGTCCAAATCACGATAAGGCCACAGAGTGTTCAAGCTAACAAGGTGTCGTTGTATCTCACTGTATAACAACAAAATTACTTTTAAAGCCTGTAGCCATCTGCAAGATCTGACACTGGAGATGCAGAGAGGAAACAAAGTGCTTGAAGTTAGCAGGGTAGTTTGGTCTTCCTACCCAAACAGACAGGAGAGGTAGGTAGTCACTAGAGCTACACATTGCAAATTCCCCTTTTGTATAAAGCTGCAGCGTGTGGGCCTCCCACATTTGCAGTATCAAAGAGGTTTTGCCTCTTTGACTTCAACGGGGTTGGTACATCTGCATTATTTTCTGAAGGCAGTTTGTGTGGTGTAAAACAAATCTTGGTTCTCTAAATAGTATAACACTCAGCTTTAAAGTATTGGGATGTTGTTACTGTTGATAGTGGTAAGTGATCTCAGGGACTACAGCAGCTGAAGCCTCTTAACTCCTGATAAAAAAAGGGCTCTCTTGGAGCTGTGAGCGTGTTTTCCTTCTCTGCATTGTCAGACCCAGCTCGCTGACTTATTTTCTGTTCTCCTTCACAGTAACAAGGGAATGGAGCATCTCCTGAGCATGAAGTGCAAGAATGTGGTCCCAGTGTATGACTTGCTGCTGGAGATGTTGAATGCGCACACTCTTCGAGGCCAAAGGAAGTCCCCGGTGACACATCCCGAATTTGGCCCATTAGAACAAATGGAGACTGGAGACAGTCTGCGAAATGGGGCAGCCCAGTAATTCTGTTGAGACCTGGAAACGTGAAGCTTGTTCAAAGCTATGGGAGAAGACAAAGCTGCTGTGATGGGACTGCTGAAGTGTGGCCAAGTGCGAGTCCTCATCTCTTCTAGATTTACACATTTGGTATCTCGGGAAAGGCTGGTGGGACGCACCCCTCTGTCCGTGTTTCTGACATTCCAATAGCTGCACTTTCATAGTGCCTTTTCTGAGACTCTTCAAAAACACCTTATGAAATTAAGCCTCAGAACAGTACTGCGAGACAGGGAATTACTGCCTCTCCTTTTCAGAGGCAGGTGAACTGAGACGGAGAGTTAAAGGGCCTGGTTTAAAATGACAGAAGTCGTCTGTGTCAGGCTAGGAGTGAGCACTGAGGTCTCCGTCTCCCAGACCAAGGCTTTTAAGCGCTGACTAGATGATCTCCTCTTTCAGCGTGAGATTGTATGAAGTGTAGAGCAGCATCATTTGGGACAGATTCGCTTACGTCTGTGTGCTGGTCCCTGGGGAATACCTGCTTTGCAGCTGATCTAGCTAAAGTGCCGAGACATGTACAGTGTAAAGGAGTTTCTTCTATTCTTAAATATGCAATGGCTGCAAGGGCCTTCATTTGAAGGCCGTTCAGAATAGCTCCTAGGGCCAGAGCCTCTTCTAGGGCTAGAGCTTCAGAGCCTCTTCAGAAATGTTAAACCGAGCTTAAGTTTGTATTTCGTGAGCCTGTTCTTCACATTATTATCTGTGTACAATTCTGTGTATAATTCTTCAGTGCTTTAAACAATGACCAAACTGCCTAGATATTTCAGTCAGTGCTGACCTTTGAAAAGTGTTCTGTCTGTCTGTGAGATTACCATGTTCGTTTATATATTTATTAATGATGTTAAATCTATTATAATATTTAGGTACAAGAGGTTGCTCTGTGAATATTAACTGTTTGCATTTGTATATGATCTGCTAATCGGGGCTTGTGAAATCAGCTAGAAACAAAGCATCTTCCCTCCCCTTTTGACTTGCGTGAGGGATTACGTCCTGCCCACCCGAAACCTCTCGCAGCCGTCTTGCAGGGGGGAGGCAGTGGACCCGAACCTAAGCTGGGACCTGCTTTTGCCTGCTGCCCTCAGGTTTGCTGCTTGCTTGTTTTCGAAGCACATGGCACCTTATGCTGTGGGTTTCATATCTTGCATAGGATTCCTTAAAGAGCGTGATGGCTTGTTCGAATTTCACTGAAGATGTGAGTTTAAAACCCCCCTGTTGTGCTGATTTCTGCATGTGTTTAAGCTGCACTGAGCAAAAAAACCGGAGGAACTAGCCTGGCCGATGGCCTTGGCGAAGAGCAGGACGGCATCATTTGTTCTGGCAACTGCCAGTGTCGCATTTTGATGTGAGCTAGAATTGCAATCACTCTAAATGGATATGTTTAAATATAATACACGCATGTTCTGGGCATTTCAGGTATGGTGAAATTAAATTGGGATCACACCAAAAGTCTATTTTGAGCCAATAAGTCTTTTGGATTAGGGACTTTGATTAGTGTGCCATTTGCATACTTTGAATATTAGTCAAACCTTTGATCTTGGTGTTTTTTCAAAGCCAAGGACTATTTTTTTATAGGAGGAGCATAAAGAGTTTTCAGTGAGTTACACAAATCTATTGTCTTGTTTTGATCTTGTACTATACCAGATGCTGCTGATGGTCTAAATTTTTACTAGCTACCTTTTTATTGTTTTTAAGAACCTGTAATATAGCAGTGCCCTTCTAAATAAGTGTAATATTTACTACAAAAAAGGGAAAAATGTGAGTACAGTCTGGAATTCATTGGTACTTTCATTTTGGGGGAAGTTTTGCTACAAAACAGACGTGTTTCAGTGTTTCTGGGGCTAGATCACCTTCTGGCCTCAATGCCTGTTGTATTGTTCTTTTTCTGATTTTCCTTATCCTGTGTAATCTTTTTGTTTAATACAGTCTTTCAAAGAAATGTTGAAGTGATTTTTTTTTTTTT